ATCCGGAGAGAACGCCAAGACGACGCCCGAGTTCCCTTTCAGGCCAGAACTCTTCCTTTTTCTAGCTTGGGGGAGAAGGCGGAGCCGGAGCCCCGGAACCCCCGCCCTCGGGGTGCGAGGCGGCAGCAGGGCCGTCCCCTACATTTGCATAGCCCCTGGGACGTGGCGCGGCACCCAGGCCTCTTCTCAGTTGGAGGGAACTCCAAGTCCCACAGTGCCACGGGGTGGGGTGCGTCACTTTCGCTGCGTTGGAGGCTGAGGAGAATTGAGCCTGGGAGGCGGGTCCGGAGAGGGCTACGGAAAGCCCCCGGCCGGGAAGCCCGGCCGTAGAGGGACAGTGGATAGGTGCCCGAGGCCTACAGCTGGCCTGGGGCTCGTGTCTGGGCTTCGGACGTTGGGGCCCGGTAGCCCACCCTTTCCGTAGTTGTCCCAAATGGAGCTGGAATTGGACGCTGGTGACCAAGACCTACTGGGCTTCCTGCTAGAGGAAAGTGGAGATTTGAGGACGGCGCCCGATGAGTCCGTGAGGGCCCCACTGGACTGGGAGCTGCCGCTTTCTGAGGTGCGTTGGGGTTCTGACTGGGGAAAGCGTGGGATGTCCATGAGGTCAGGGGATGGTGATAGGTCAAGGCCTGTTCACTGGAACCCTGCGCAGGTACCGAGCGACTGGGAGGTAGATGATTTGCTGAGCTCCCTGCTGAGTCCCCCAGCGTCGTCGTTGAACGTTCTCAGCAACTCCAACCCCTGCCTTGTCCACCATGACCACACCTACTCCCTCCCACGAGAACCTGTCTCTATGGATCTAGGTGAGTCTGAAATAAGTTTGGGGGGAGGACAGGGTTCATGGGCCTGGCTATTCATACGTTCCCTTTTGCAGAGAGTGAGAGCTGTAGAAAAGAGGGGACCCAGATGACTCCACAGCATATGGAGGAGCTGGCAGAGCAGGTACTTGACTTGATTTTCAGGATGATTACTCTCACATTCCTCAGGTGGGGGCAGGATTCCCCATTCCTCTGTGACATCCCCATGCAACTGCCGCCCACTTTCTGGTTACCCTAGGATATTGTTAGGCTGGTACTGACAGATGAGGAGAAGAGTCTATTGGAGAAGGAGGGGCTTATTCTGCCTGAGACACTTCCTCTCACTAAGGTAAGACTCTCGTTAGTTGAGCAAAGGCTGAAAAGGGATTAAAAGTCTCAAGTAGGCCAATTCTGTTAACTTTATATCAATAACTTTAAAAAAGGATTGAGGTGAGAAACTTAGCAGATTTATTGCTAATAGGAAGTTGAGGCAGGTACCCAATATGCTAGATGCAAGGCAGATCCTCATTTTCGTTGGGCTTACACAAATTTTGGTGTTCTGTTAAAAAACAAACAAAAAAAACCCTCAAAATTATCAGTGCAACATTAGTATTGGGCCTTGGAAAGGACTGTGTAAGTGAAGGGCCTTGACACTTCATTGGCTTCATAGTAATCCACCTCTTGCTGAATGGTAGAACTGTTTAGAGAGTTCAACACGATTGGACTAAGCAGTACATGAATAAATGCAAAATCCTTAGTTTCCAGTTTTAAGCAATCAGTGGCAACTTCACAAGCAGAGTACTGGGATACTATGATGAAATCAGTGCTCATTAATAGAAAGGTTCCAGGAATTTTTTTTTTTTTTTTTTTGACAAGGTCTTGTTCTGTTGCACAGGCTGGAGTGCAGTGATGTGATCATGGCACACTGCAGCCTTGAATTTCTGGGCTTAGGTGATTCTCCCACCTCAGCCTCCTGAGTAGCTGAGACTACAGGTGCACACCACCCTGCCCGGCAAATTTTTTTTTTGGTGTTTTTAGTAGAGATGGGGTTTTGCCTTGTTGCCAGGCTGGTCTTGAACGCCTGTGCTCAAGTGATCTACCCACCTTGGCCTCCAAAAGTAAAGAATTTTAATTCCTTCAAAGTACAAGATGAGTCAGCAGTGCGATGTGGCTACTAGGAAAGTTAATGGGATTTGGAAACTGTAGCAAGAGTTATTGTCTCCACAAGTCACTATCTTGCTTTCCTTTATACTGGCTAGAGCACATCTTTGACAGATACTAAGAAGATGCAGTCTATCCTAAGAAGATGAGTTAAAATTTTTGTCTAAGCTGTTTTCTTGAACTTTTTTTCTCTGAGGAAATGTCAAATGCCTGAAAATAGCTAAACAGGGTTCATTCTATTTGGCCCCAGAGATACTAGGTAAGTCCAACGTATAGAAATTATAAGGAGACAGCTGTTGGTTCAGGATAAGGAAGTTTTTGTTTGAAGACAGATTCTTGCTTTACTGCCCAGGTTGGAGAATAGTGGTGAGATCATGGCTCACTACAGCTTTGACCTCTCAGGCTCAAGCGATTGTCCTTCCTCAGCCTCCTGAGGAGCAGGGACCACAGGCATGTGCCACCACACCCGGCTAATTTATTTTTAGTAGAGACAAGGTCTCACTGTGTTGCTCAGGCTGGTCTCAAACTCCTGGGCTCAAGCGGTCCTCCTGCCTTAGCTCCCCAAAGTGTTGGGATTACAGGCATGAGCCATGTCACTTGAATATTGCCTGACCAATTTTTTTTTTTAATAGTTTAAAATGGTCTGGCTTGTTAGGGTTAACACATGGTCCGTGGAGGCATTCAGAAAGAATGTGAATGCCTATTGGTCAGGGAAGCTGTAGAAGGGATTTCTGTATTGGAAAGAGATGGATCTCAGTTGCCTTTCAACTTCTTGTTCTAGAGTCCCTCTAATGATACCCCTTTCCCTGTTTCCTTTCAGATGGAGGAACAAATTCTGAAACGTGTGCGGAGGAAGATTCGAAATAAAAGATCTGCTCAAGAGAGCCGCAGGAAAAAGAAGGTGTATGTTGGGGGTTTAGAGAGCAGGTATGAAAGGGAGAGGGACTCAGTTTTAAGTGTTAGGTTTTTGAAGGGAGGACACAGGCCATATCCCCATATCTTTGTTATTTCCCCCAGGGTCTTGAAATACACAGCCCAGAATATGGAGCTTCAGAACAAAGTACAGCTTCTGGAGGAACAGAATTTGTAAGTATCCCTCCAAACCATTCCCTTCCTACGCTCCTCATTTAATGTTTTCTCACTCTTTCCCCTGCCCTACACTTGATTTCTAACAGGGTGGCTGCCTTCACTAGGTCTCTGATTCTAAGAAGCTCACAGTAGTGGGGAATATATTTATAAGTAACTGAGAATAAGCTAAGTACCTAGAAAAAGAAAGGGGGTAAGAAAGACCTCATGGGCTTTCATAGGATTCTGGGGTTGGGTTGGGAAAGCATTCTAGGCAGAGAGAAAGCATCCTAGGCAAGAGGATTAGCCCAGCATAGTCCTCTTGGGCTGGAACACATGTGAGCTGGGACAGAAGGTAGAGAACGTAGAGAATGCGCGGTGAGGATTATGTGCATAGCTGATCAGACAATGGGGAACTACTGATGATATTTGCAAAGGAGGTTAAGTCCTGGAAGAGTTTGTTTTGTTTTGTTTTTGCTTTTTTTGTTTGTTTTAATGAGGAACTTCAGGCATTTTTTCCAGAGTGGAAGAAGTCGTTTGCAAAAATAGAATGAAAAGTAAGAGAGAGGATCCAGTGCAGAGATGGAGGAGGTGGCCTGAACAGGAGTTTCACTGTGTCTCAGGGTGCTAGGCCAGGGGATGCTCACCATTGGCCCCTCTCTTCCTCTAGGTCCCTTCTACATCAACTGAGGAAACTCCAGGCCATGGTGATTGAGATATCAAACAAAACGAGCAGTAGCAGCACCTGCATCTTGGTGAGGATAGTGATGAGGGGAGAAATTCTTTTCTCAGTTGCTGGGGACAGTTGTGCAATCCAGAGCCCTTCTTCATCTCCTTTTTCCTCTGCTGTAGGTCCTACTAGTCTCCTTCTGCCTCCTCCTTGTACCTGCTATGTACTCCTCTGACACAAGGGGGAGCCTGCCAGCTGAGCATGGAGGTAAGAGGCTTAAGGATAGCTCTCAGACATGGGCAAGGGGAGAGGCCTGGGTTGGCCTCTGAAGATTCTTTGTCTCCTCAGTGTTGTCCCGCCAGCTTCGTGCCCTCCCCAGTGAGAACCCTTACCAGCTGGAGTTGCCTGCCCTGCAGTCAGAGGTGCCAAAAGACTGCACACACCAGTGGCTGGACAGCTCAGACCACGTACTCCAGGCCCCTGGCAACTCTTCCTGCCTACTGTACTACATGCCTCAGGCTCCCAGTGCAGAGCCTCCCCTGGAGTGGCCATTCCCTGACCTCTTCTCAGAGCCTCTCTGCCGAGGTCCCATCCTCCCCCTGCAGGCAAATCTCACAAGGAAGGGGGGATGGCTTCCTACCGGTAGCCCCTCTGTCATCTTGCAGGACAGATACTCAGGCTAGATATGAGGATATGTGGGGGGGGTCTCAGCAAGAGCTTGTGGGGCTCCCCATCTGTGTCCAAATAAAAAGGGGTGGGCGAGGGCTGGCTGCAGCTCCTATGCCCTATCAGGAGGACTGAGGGCTCAAACACACCACACTTACTGGCTTTCTGGGTCTTTTATTTGTACCCATGTGTCTCACCCCATGAATGTACCTGGGGAAATCAACTGACCTCCCTGAACATTTCATGCAGTGAGGGAACGGGTGAGGAAAGAAATAAATAAGTGATTCTAATGCTGCCTAGGTCACCCTCAACCCCCATTTACTGGCACAACTGGGTGGGGAGAAGGGAAGGGGTATGATTGTCCTGATGGCTCAGGGTTGCAGAAGGTTCAGAGGGGAAGGAGGAAAGGCCAGGCTGGAGGCTGGGCTATTAGTGCTTTCCTCCCACAGTTCAGACGGTTCACTCTGGGCTCACGTTTGCCATGGCTTCCTTTGGTCCAAACATAGGCCCTGTCCTTAGTCCTGTGCCCTGTTCGACTTTTGGCCTGGAGGCCTTTTTGTGCTGCTGCTGTTGCAGGGCTAGCTGCATGGCCCAGATGCTCAGTGGCCGCATGTAGGCCAGTGAGCGGAACACCCGCTGCTGGCAGTATGCCTCTGGGGTCTGGAAGGCCAGACCCAGGCGCTCCCACACGGTACGGTAGCAGCCTTCAGCTGTCTGGAAGCCCTCCCAAGTCAGGCCCTGTTGGGAGAGATGACAGTCATACATACTAACTTGCACCCTCTGAATAGCCATTTCCACTGGATAGATGGAGGCAGGATAGTCTTTGCCTTCAAGGAGTGGGAAGGAAGTAGAGGAGGTAACTGTGACCCACAGGCAAGTCTGAAGGCAGGAGCTAGAATGCATACCAGGGAAAAGCGGGAGGCTTTATAGATGGATAAGATGGCATTGGGTTATGCCTTGAAGAAATTTGGTGGCTGAGGAAGTTTTCTGGGCCAGGATACAGATGGTAGAGAGATGGGAAAGGGAGTGTATTACCTCTTGGATCATGGTAGCTGCCAATCCGTAGACCACACCCACCCAGACTTCATCAGACTGCACACTGGATTTATCAGGGACACCATGGGGCTGCATCCCATTCACAGCCCCCATGGCCCCTCCTGCAAAGGCCTGGACGTTCAGCTCAAAGATAGTTTGGAGAGCACGGACCACATGTGGGGTAGGAAACACCTGGAGGGGCAATGGCAGGAACATAGTCTCATATACTTACTTCCCACCTTCAGGGAAAACCCAGTTTTCTTTCTGGCTCCTCCTCCTAGTCTCACCTCAGTCTCTCCTTCTCCTAGGCCACAGGCCTTCAGGAACCACTGTCCAGCACACTGGTCAGACATAACACTACGAGACTGAGGCTGAGAGCTGCTGTCATAGTTGTAATAGCGGCCTGGAGTCGAGGAAGAGAAAATAAGGCTCCTGGTGTCCCTTCAGCTGCTTTAAGACTACTTAGGCTCCCCGAACTCACCATTCCACAGCAGTCTCTCATAGGCTTCTTGGCCCCGGTGAAGGATGGAAGAAAACTTATCCTGAATGTCCTGTGCCCCACACAGAGCAGCCATCTGGACCATCACAGCCACAGCTGCCAGCCACAGCCCTCCACAGTAAGCACTGATCAGGGACATGGGTTTGGGGGTCAGACTGGCAGCTCCAGCTACTCCCATGCAGTGTAACAGACAATGAGTCATTTTTTCTTGAGCCCTACAATCCCTTGGTGCCCAGTTTCCCACCTCAGGCCTCCTGGAAACCCCTACCCACTAACCTGGGGCCTGTGGTCACCCATCCATCATAGGTCTGGTCTGCGTAGCCTCCATTTTCAATGAGTCCATCATGATCCTTGTCAAACTTCATTTCAGACTCCATCACAGCCTAGAGAGGGGACCAAGATGCTGAAGACCTAGGTACCGAGGAAAGGCAACAACCAGCTAGGCTCTTCCCAGACACCAGCCATAACCCTGGCACACTGGTCACTGCATGTGCATCCCTTACTAGACACACAGGCCACATGTCCTTCAGGAAGTTTTGATCACCCGTCAGGTAATAGTCCCGATAAACCTGCAGCACAAACTTCAGGTTCAGGTCCTTCCAGTCAGCAGTATCGTGGATCAAATATGCATTGACCCGGAGCCATGGTTCATCATCTGTGGGAGAGGCGGGGACCTGGGTCATTTGCATTGGTGGGTAGGGTAGAGGGTACAAAAGTTGAGGGAGGGAAGCTGACCTTGGGGTGGACTTTTACCTGGGTCCCCAATATCATGGGGGATGACGTTCCTCCTTTTCACAGGTGCCATCACCCCACTCATCAGGTACTGTCGCCGTGTCAGGTCCTCCCTGAGAGTGGCCAGAGCTGCGGGAGCAGACACAGAAGGGAGGCAGGGAATGGGCATGCTTGAGGAGGGGCACAGAGCTATGTGTGTGACCGCAGTGGGGAACCAGTAAGCAGCATGCAGATATGTATAAAGGGAAGGGAAAGGAGACAATCTGAGGGACCACAGAAGTTCAGGGGTATGGGGAGCCAAGAGGGCAGAAGAGGCACAAAAGAGATCCTCACCCATGTCATACTGTAGGCTGAGCTCAAGTTTGGGCCATAGCATGATGAGGGCAAAGGAGGCATAAAAGTGGACATCATATGTGTTGTACATGCGGTACTCCTGGCCTGGAGGAATGAATGAGAAACACTGTTGCCAGAATTCCTGCTTCCCCTTCAAACCCCTCTGTAGCTTGTCCTCTAGATTTGGAAGTGGGGCACTGTCACTAGTCCACATCCATCACCCCCTCACCCTAACCAATATCCTGGGGTAGGCAAATCCATCATCCTGGCTTAGGCATGGCCTGCCATATCCCAGCCCACCAGCATCCTGTACCCTCAAGGTAGCCAAATCGACCGTAGTCCCGTAGGGTGGGGCAGAGGTGACACATGTTTCTGCCCAGCTCCTCTGGTAGGGAGTCCTCACGAACTTCCAGCCATACTGTGCCTCCATCAGCCAGGAAGTATAGTTCATTGAACAGTGCAGATTTGTACCAGGCAGGCAGTGATCTGGGAAGTGAGGAGGAGGAAATGGTTTAAGGAACATGCATCTCCCAAGATGGAAAGGATTTGGGGGTTCAGCAGAGTAGAAGCATCAAATTAATCCCAGTGCAAGTCTACTGACTTTGGTGGGTGGAGAGTAAATCGAGGAGTCCCATTCGGAGTGAGTGCCTAGGAGAAAGGCAAGAGATGGGCCCCACTGGCACCTGTCATCCAATACCGGGCTCTGCCAAGCTGAGATCCTCTCTTCCCACTCTGCGTATCGGCACAGTGCATAGTGGCTGAGGGCAGGTGCTGCATCTCCATCCTGGCCAAAGAACCTTGTATACCGCCTGGGGTGGGAAGGGGAAGGATGAACACAAGCCCCAGGTCACAGCTTTGGATCCTTACACTTTCTTGCTCCCCTCACCTGTAGTGGACTTGGCCTTTAGCTCCAAACAGGATCCTGGGCATGTCCCAGGCCAGTGAAAACTCCAGGCGGCACTGGCCTCGAGGTCGCAACTTGCTGGAAACACACACAGCTCCAGCAATGCCTACTCCTTTCTGCGTAGGGGTGCTTTGGCCTGAGAGAAGCACAAGAGAATTCAGGACAGGAGCCCCTGCAACCCCAGGGATAGGGATCCCTAACAGGGAAACAAGGCCTACTTATTGCCAGGCCTCCCACCCTTGGTCCCAAGACAGGGACAACCTCTCTTCCCACCATCTCCCAGTCAGACCCCCCATCACCAGCGGGAGAGTCCAGCTGTCCATCCTGAAGTAGATCCTGCCACACCTGCTGCCCCGTGCTGTCAGGGTCAAAGGCTGTGATGTGGGTTACCGTGGTATCTGCCTGTGAAGGGGCCAGGGACTGTGAGGGCAGGCACGAGTACACTGGGTCCCGGCTAGCTCCCCAGCTCCTCTTACCCAGACCTAGGGGCTTACGGGAGTATGATGAGGGTGGATGAAGAGACCATGGTGGGGTGGAGATGGGGTTCAGGGGCTAAGGTATAGGGCAGGCTCTTTCCTTACCGTGACTCGTGCAGCCACAGCCATTGTGTAGGGGTTTGGAAGGGTTGGATGATGCAGCAGCAGCCCCTGGACAGTTTCCCCGCCATGCTCCAGACAGAAGGGCTCATTCCACAAACCCCCTGGGGCATCGTCTCCACCCCCCAGTCCATTCCGCATGGAGAACATGATGGACACATCTAGAGCTTCGTCCCCTTCATTTTCCACATCCCACACAAAGACTCCTACAGGCAGGCTGCTGTCCTGGGGGCAGAACATTAGACTCAGACGGTCCCAGTAGAGCCCCTCCTGACCCCACTCTCCTAGGATCAGTCCTGGGCGCACACAGGACCTGACTCAAATACTCTTCAGTATACTCTTCTTTTGTCCACTTGCATCTCCCTGTATTCCCAGGCAAGCTGCCTATTGGGACATAGAAGACCAGAACCAATCGGGCGGTGGTTCTGGGAAGCCAGTGTGATGGCTTCAATCTCCCTTTCACAGGTCATGCAGTTTCTTTTCCTTTTTTTTTTTTTTTTTTTTTGAGACGGAGTCTTGCTCTGTCACCCAGGCTGGAGTGCAGTGGCATGATCTTGGCTCACTGCAAGCTCCACCTCCTGGGTTCACGCCATTCTCCTGCCTCAGCCTCCCGAGTAGCTGGGATTACAGGCGCCCGCCACAATGCCCCGCTAATTTTTTTTGTATTTTTAGTAGAGACAGGGTTTCATGTGTTAGCCAGGATGATTTCCATCTCCTGACCTCGTGATCCGCCTGCCTCGGCCTCCCAAAGTGTTGGGATTACAGGCGTGAGCCACCGTGGAGCCTGGCAGGCCATGCAGTTTCTAGCAGAGGCAAGGTCCTGGGGAAGGGAGGGCAAGGGAAAATACAGACATGGGGGCCTCACCTGGTAGTCATGGGGCAAGATGGGTGTGATCTGACGGCAGGTGAGGGTGACATCCTGGCCAGGAAGCTGATAGACAGTCCAGGCTCGGGGATAGAGGGCGTGGTAGAAAGCAAAGTACCCACACAGGCCCCAGTTCCAGCTGCGGAGGACACTTGGGCGCTCCAGGGACAGGACTTGCTGGTACACAGTCTGCCCTTCCCGGCGTAGGCACACTGTGAACTTAAAGAGGGCAGATAAGCTGGAACGGGGTAAGCCATAGGCACCACAAACTAAGTCTTCCCTCTCCTCAAATCAGCTCCTCCCCTTTCAGAGCCTGCAGCTGTTACCACTGCACCATCAGCTTCAAGTCATCCCCCAGGCTCAGTGAATCACCAAGTCCTGCTACCTCCTCGTCCATCTATCTCCCAAGCTTTCTCTCCCTTCTCCACTATGGTGGTGTTAGCATCTCATTTAAGCCCAAACAATCTCCTGCTTTTTCTGTGGCCCTTTTCATCTGGGTAGCAGAGTGATCTTTCTCACAGGCAAATCTAGATATGTCGTCCTTGGTTAGAATGTTTCAGTGACTCCCCATGGCCCTCAGGCTAAAGTCTCAACTCTTGCCTGGCTTTCAAGGCCCTTCTTGAGCTGGCCTCTCCTTGCCCATCAGACTCATCACCTCTTCAAGCACCTATATTCTGCTCATATAAAAAATACTCACTGTTCCTTGAGCATGCTACATTCCCTCCTCCATGCCTGTGCTCATACTTATTCGCTATCTGGTGAAACCTCTCATCCTTCAAAGCCTAGGTCAAAAGCCATCTCTTCCTCTTCCTCTCCTTCCTCCAGCAGTGAGTCATTATATGTGCCCCCCTCCCGCTCTATTCTAGCATTTGGTGTATTATAATGTATTGACTGACCATTCTGTGTCCCTGACTGCTCTATGGGTTCTTCTGAGGGTAGGTACATTTTCTAATTCACTGATGCACCATTCTTCAGAGTTGGTGTGTATGTGGAGGGAATGAGTGAAATCTGCAGCGCCGTCCCTTTTTCCGCAGTATACTATCCACCCCTCTTCTTTTAGCACTGATGTGGTCTCTGTCTCCATTTCCCCTAAGTCTTGTTTTCTCAAAAAAAGTTTTAGCTCTTGGAGGGTAGGAGCTATGAGGGATTAATATCCCTTTCCCTGGTTCAAACTATGCCAAATATTTTTATTGTATACAGTCGGCTCTCCGTATCTGTGAGTTCCGCATCAGTGGATTCAACCAACCAAATCTAAAATATGCGGAAAAAAAGTTGCATCTGTACCGAATATGCACACACTTTATTTCTTGTACGGTATGACAAGGGTTTATGTAACAATGTATGAGGTATTATAAGTAATCTACAGATGATTTAAAGTATATAGGAGGATGTGCAATGGTTATTTGCAAATACTATATGCCACTTCAAATCAAAGACTGAGCATCCTCGGATAGTGGGTCCTGGGCCCAACCCCCAATGGATACTGAGGGACAACTATATAAAATACTTTTTCATTTTGTTGGAATGGTACATAATGGTTAAGACCACAAGCTCTTCACCACAGAAAGAAATGGTTCTGAATCCCAACCTTTCCATTTACCAACCTTGTGACCTTGCGCATGTTACTAAACCTCTCTGGATCTTAGTGTTCTCATCTGCAAAATGAGCATAATAGTGGTACTTCCCTTGTAGGATTGTTTTTAGTATTAAACAGTATACAAAGAGCCTAGAACAGTGTCTAGCACATGTTAAGCATGCAATAATTACTTTAATTGTAGAGTCACAATTCTAGAAGCCATTCCCCTCAGGATACCTAAGGGATGAGGCAGAGAGGGATCTTGGAACATGGGCAGGGCTGGTAAACCTGAACCAGGAAGGGCATTGTCATTAATTGGACTAAAGATTTGCTAGTCATTTTTCCTTTGAAGATGAGGCTGAATGCTGGAGCCAGGAAAGAGGAACTTCCTAGACAACTCTAAAGGGGTGGTCAACTAGAGATATGATGAAAGGCAGGCCACATACTTCTGGCAATTTAAGGCCCAGATGTGATGCAGGAGCAAAAGGAAAAAAGTGAAGCTTCAGAAGAGGGAAGAAGGCTAGAGATCTAAGCCCGGGAGAGAAGGAGCTTTTTAGATCCTAAGCCAGAGAGACCTCCAGGGAAGTGATCAGCAGAGGAGCTGAACTTTGGTGAAGGTTCCTCAATCAGGGTG